CACAGCAGTAGACTTGTTTTACAGCAGTAGACTTGTTTTACAGCAGTAGACTTGTTTTACAGCAGTAGACTTGTTTCACAGCAGTAGATTTGTGGCTCAGCAGTAGACCAGACACAGCAGTAGACTAGAAACAGCAGTAGACTTGTTTCGCAGCAGTAGACTAGACACAGCAGTTAATTTATGGCACAGCAGTAGATAGATTCTGTCTCTTATACACATCTAGATGTGTATAAGAGACAGATTCTATTCTATTCTATTCTATTCTATTCTAGCCGGATCCCTTGTGAATCAAGTCACGAAAAGTTCAAGAATCGGCAACAGGCCATGGGCCTATTTCTTCAACGCCGACACTTCTATTCTATTCTATTCTATTCTAAATGCATTGCATTTCTTGTTTCGGTAATGTTTCATCCATGCCGTGAGTGACGTAATTTAAGCTCATCTGTGCCTTTCCGTTCATTCACTAATGCTGAGGTTCTATCGCACGTACAATGTCTGTTTAAAGTGCAGAACAATTCTACTCATTCAGTGCACAGGAAGTGAGTTCTTTTTTATTTGTTATATTTAAGTTCTTATTGGTGTTATTTCAACCTTATCGTGCTCAATTGTACTTTTATTTCTTAAATTTATTTATATATTTATTTAATTTTTACAACACTTCTCTTCAACTTCACTTCTTGTTGTTTGTTTGTCTTTCTGTCTGTTTGCTGCAAATCTTATGATCGATATTTAACACACTTCTACCTGTCCAATCGATCTGAAATTTGGCACACTTGCGTAAAGTTGGGGACAATGCATGAATCAACTAACAGAATAAATGATTTTAAAAATTAATTTCTTTTTTCAATGTTAAAAAAGTAAAAACAATTTTGTCAGCTACAAATCTTCTTATCGATATTTGACACACTTCTACCTGTCCAATCGATCTGAAATTTTGCACTCTTGCGTAAAGTTGTAGACAATGCATGAATCAATTGGCAGAACCAGATCAGCCGCTATACTTTTTTTATTTTTTTTTTCTTTTTCTCTCTTCTTCTTCTTTTTGCCACACATTTCCTACTACACACAGTAATCCCCCAATTGTGGCCTTTTCCTGTGTGTATCATTAGTGTTCAAAACAATCTTACATTAGTTTTACCTAGCCAAAAAACCCTAACATAACCTAACCGAACTGAACACAGCCTGACATATCCTAACCTGTCCTAACCTAATCTTACCTCACTTAACCTTACTTCACCTAACCTTACCTTGCCTAACCTTACCTAATCCAACACAACCTAACCTAACTTAACCTATCCTAGCCTAACCTATCCTGAACTAAATTTGTCGTACCCTAATCAACCCTAACTTAACCACCCTATGTGATTGTCGCCATAGGAACTTGTTCCTGGCTTGAACCTAACCTCAGCAAATGACGTATATTTTACGACATGTTTAATTTTGAATAATCCCCTACGAAAAATCTGTATTGGACACAGTGGTGGACTTCAATTTAGTATAAATATATAAATTTATTAATAAAGTATAAACTTCAATTTAGATTCAGAAAAGTATTAATGGACATTTTATGATTGAACATTATTTAAAGAAAATGTATATAATTAGATTTAAGAATAACCCATACTAAATGAATTAATTATTAATTGCAGTTTTCAGTTAACATTAAAATTTAACAAATATTTGCTTGAAAAATACCGTCTCATACTACGATTGATGGTTTTATCGGGAGAATGAATATTATTTGACATTATATTATGTAAACAACTTTTGACTTAGCAACGCGGTTGAATTAGTATAGTTATCCATGATTCAATTCATTGTCAAGAAGAAAACGGAGCGTCGTTAGAGGTGGACTGCTAAGATACGGGCTAAGGAGGAATATCTCTTTAATCTTACTCTTTAATCTTACAAATAGTTGCAAAAAAGGGGGCCCGGCAGACCCCCCGGGCCCCCCAGGGAGTATTTTAGTTTTCTTCTAATGTTTATTTGCGTGAATTTTCTTCAATCTTGGTCTATAAAGAGTTATAACGCCTTTACGTTTGGGCCCAAGGACTAAAGATACATGGCAGGGAGCAATCTTATTGCTTCATTAAAACGATTTTTAACGGTACATATGAGAAGTTTTTTCGCAATATTAATGCTTAAGCTTAAGTAAATAACCATATACGAATGGAGTGTCTAACTTAAAAAAATAAGTGCCTAATAAAGTATTTTATAAGTGAGCAGAACCGAATCTCGGTTTATTTTTGATCGTTAAATTTCTAATAGATATAATTTTTTTTGAAAATGAGTTAAATAGGCAGTAATTAGCGCAATTTTATCCTCTGTCGATACCAACTTTCAGAAAGCTTCCTAAAATTACGCAGCTTGCACAATAGTCTAAAAAGTAAACTCGTAGAACACGTTCAGAGCAGCGCCCGGACCACGGCGAGTTGGACGAAAATTATGTCAATTATTGTCTACTTTGAAAAATCATATTTCGATATCTATAAAAGCTAGGATCATGAAACAGGGTCCAAATTAAAGGCAAAGACTTGTTCTTTATTGTTAGGGTTGTTGAAAAAATATACAAAATTTTTCCGTAGAGTTGTGAAGAGAAAAGTGAAAAAGTTGGTAAAAAGTTGATCAAAGTTTCGCTCACAACTTTGCGAGTTTTGAACTTTTTCAAAATCCGTTTTCACCAGTGTGTTTGTCTCAACAAGACGCATCTTTTTCCCGCTTTCACTATGATAAAAATGTTTACGGTTAGGCCGCGAGAGTTGAAAAACCACCGAAAAATGGCCGAAAACAATTTTTTCAGGGTCAACTTTGACCCCCAATTTAGGGATGAAGTTTTGACCCGACAAAAAATCGTTCGAAATCCCAAACACAATTCAATCCTTTACCTTTCGTTTGAAATGAATCGCATTGCTCTGAGTTTGCAACTTTTCGAGCTATGATCGTTTCCGCAATCTCATTTTAGGTAATTTTTTTACCAAATTTTCCCCTTTTTTGGGGATTTTGGGGGGGAAGGAGTAGGAATTTCGGAAATCCGACAAGAAGGTTTGGTAGAAAAAATATGAGTACGTGTCTGTGCCAATTTTCATGAGATTCTAACGGTTGAGCTCCTGGGAAAAATGGCTCGAGTGAAAACTTTAACCTCAAACCCCCCTGTACGTGATTATACAGCAGCAGCATATCAAAAGTGGAGAGTATAAGTTTAGCGTCCGCTTCGCTGGCTGTAGGCACACAGAAAGTGAGCCGCTCCTGCCGAATCAAAAGTGGAGAGTATAAGTTTAGCGTCCGCTTCGCTGGCTGTAGGCACACAGAAAGTGAGCCGCTCCTGCCGAATAAATAATTTTATAAATTAGATTTTTTTTTCAATATTAAAAAAAATTTAAAAGTAATTTCGTCTGCTACAAATCTTATAATCCATACATGACACAATTTGACCTGTCCAAGCGATTTGAAATTTTGCACAATTGCATAAAGTCAGAGACAATGCATGAATCAGTTGACAGAATAAATAATTTTGATAATTTACAAAATTTGGATATCTTAAAACAATTTTGAAAAGAATTTTTTTTAATATATGGAAATAAAATTAAAAATTCATTGTACATGTGTAATATCCAAGACACTGGATTGTTAAGAAGTGTTGTCTTTAAAAAGTCATTTTAAACGCATATTATTATATTCTAATTACATCGTTCTAATATCGTCTCATTTTTAGACTGCCAACGTAAAAATCAAAACTACCGTCATTCTTCTCGTCGTTATCGCTATCTCATCCGGTATTCCAAATGAGTAAGTTTTGCAGCTAGCTCGATATTAGACTTTAATTATTCCGCTTCCCATGCAGTTGACATCAATCTGCACTGACAATTTTTGAGATTATTTTCAGTATTGCCTGCCGCTGTCTCTTCCAAATAACTCTATCCCTCATGGGTTTGGACAAGTCTGCAAATAGGTCTTCTAACCCTTTAATTATTTCACGTGTCACCTTATTAAGCTGCTTTCATCCATATGATCTTCCTTCATTCCGTCAGTTGTGCTTGAGCCAATATACTGTAACCTAAAACGCACTACCTAGCAAGGATTCCTTTGAAGTAGCATTCTCTTTCGTTCTCATTCAGTGCCTCCAAAAAGCTGAATAGTGGCTGTAATTAAGAGTCACGAAACATCTGTTTGAACTCCTTTTTTTGCAGATTATTCTTTGTGTCTGGGGCATTGATTTTTAGTTCCATTCACGTGATAGCAGCGGTGCACTGATTCAGGGAAGAGACCTCATTGAGTTTACAAAAGTCAGTAATTTGGTATTCATCGAACATGCATGAATACTTGGAATTTAGCCGCAGTTGCATGAGTTTCTATTTCCAAGTCATCACTCATTACCCAAGTTCCGATGTTATTCCTGGTAGAGCTATTCAGACACTTAACCTGTTAACATTGGACACAAATTTTGGAGCCTATATTGAAACTGTTAAGGCTGTCCATACGTAGTCTCATATAGACGATTGTTTAGGAAATAAACTTTGGTCATTCCGTTTTCGATCTGAACCGATAGTTGCGTACTGACAAAGTTGCGAGTTGAGACGATCAGGATAGCAATGGTCTTGTATACTAGAAGGAGACATCAAAAAAAGTAAATTTATATGTGGAAGTAGGATTTCGGGGGATAAATTCTATCTTTCAATTCATAAATTTTGGAAATAGTAATTAATCATTTATTTATTTCCCCTATATTTCAATGTTTTATCCAAATCCGGAAGATAAAATCTCATTACAAATAAGACAAATCTCTTAAGTAGAGGCTTAATCGAACCATAAAGTAGCTTGAACGTTCATGTGCAGCTAAAGTTTAAGTGATAATTAAGGGTCAACGAGTGCGAATGTAGTCTTGCATGTTAACGGATGTGAACCATAAAATCCGCGTAGCCAGCCAATGGAAAACAGTTGGGTTGACTTGCCGTGCTCACCTGCGCCAGTATCATACACGTGCGCCAGTATCATACACAAATTTTCAAGAGACTCTGGATTGTACCTCACTTATTTAATTAAGTGAGGCAAGGTGGCCCAGTGGTTAAAGTTCAGAGTACCAAGATTGGCGCAGAGAGGCGCGGGTTCGATCCCAGCTCTGTGCGCCAGTATCTGGTCAGAATCGGCAAGGAGGCCGGGCGGTTAAGCACAGCAGAATTGTAGCAGTGAGTTGCGAGTTCTAGACCACAAAATACTGTAGATGTTCTGCGATGTTAAGAATCGAATAATGGGAGTCGAAACGCATACAATTGTTATTATTGAGGAAATTATTCAATTATCGCTCAAAAAATTTTTCAGTGGACCTAATTATTTTTTTTTCAAAATTCGTCAGTTCTTTTTTCTTGGATGTGTGCACTGTTCACTGTAAGGATGAATCAACGCTGAAACAACGTCCTTCGCGACGTTGAATATTAGTTCAAAATGAAAGGTAAATTACCGTGCAACGCAATTTTTCAACGTCAAGAAATTTCGACGTTGTTTCAACGTTTAAATCGCTTTGAATTCTGACGTTAAAAGCGCATTTATAAACGTTTTATCAGGCTAACCTGCTCCATCGTAAATGTCACAGTATATTAGCACCGTATTACAATGAGCGGCATTTATTATACATATAAATGTTATGTGGTACCATTATATTCACTTACCTCTACTTCTCCCTTGAATAAATCTTATCAATCTTTGCTGGATTGGAACCCCCACACGTACCTGACACCGCCAGATCACGCGCTTCACCGTCGCACACCAGACCACGTTAGACCTTGCGTCGCAAGGGAGATTAATAGCAATTTGACCTATCTTTCTACATCATAACTTATTGAAGTCATTTCTTCGCCTAAATTAGATAGATATCATTTATTTATTTTATTATTCACATAAAGAACAATTAAAGATGAGGAATGTGTAAAAACTCTTGCACATACCGTGACTACTTGCAGGCCGCGTGTGCAGGGTACAATTGTAGATAGGGTAGTGAATAGTATTTATGCAAATAATGAATGCAGCTCATTGTACTACGGTGCTCATACACTATGACATTCATGTTAGAACATATAAACCTAATAGAACCTTTTATAAACGTACCTTTAACATTAGAATTCAACGAAATTTCATCGTTGAAACAACGTCGAAGTGTACGACGTTGAAAAAAATGACGTTTATCCACTTTTCGTTCTGGACTAATAGTCAACGTTATTTCAACGTCGCGAAGTACGTTATTTTAACATTGATTCAACATGATAATGCCTGTTGGGTTGTGATTTCAAGCGGAAAATAATCATTTATAATGTATGGGAAGTATAGAATTCAAAGTTGTGCATTTTATTTTGGATTCCCATTTAAAAGTGCGTAACAAATATATATGTGTATGTTGCCTGTCAGATGATTAATTTCTGTATGTGAACCCGCTTAGTTAATGTACGTTTTAACTTGGTTGAGGTGTGCTCAATGTGCACTTAATTTTGTGGTTTGCTCTTCAAGTTTGTTATTGACCCTTGTAAGTACTGGATTTAGGATTAGTTATTGAAAATAGAATTTTTTAAGCTTAGACCTATATTCATTTCTTTATCACTCTGTGGTAATTTTTCGTTGTGATATATTTTTAATAGAGTGTAGATACGAAAAGACAGAAAGGAAAACAGAACAAATTTTCTTGCAAACCTTATATTGGAGTCCGCGAAATTATACATAGTACAGTTACAATCTGGGTCTTCGCTGCAGTAGAATTAATTACAGGCGCACCAATTGAAACTATGAATCAAAATGTGTTGTGTTACGTACTCGTATAAAAATTATAATAAACTCGTATAATTGCTATGAGTATGACTCAATGAACAAGGTTCATTATGATAAATAAAATTATTTGATATTTTTTGTCACCTCAAAATGTTCTCCAACAGCCTACGGTATCGGAGGAACTTCTGCGGGAAGTACTGGCCCCAGAGGCACAGGAGGCCGTCATGGTCCAGGAGGTCCGGGAGGACCAGGCCACTGTGACGTCGTTACTCTGCTCCATGACAGCGGGTACAACACCAAGGCTGAGACACTCCTCAAGTGTGTTGCTCAGGAGCAGAGTTTTGTAAGTATTCCGGGTTATAAAGATACTTTCAAGCGTACATAATTAATTAATGATGAGATGCATAAAATTATAAAATATCGACTTTTTTGGCTCAGAATCAGGGCTTGTTGAACCACGAGTTTTCTCCTGAGATATGCATCCACCACCACACATATCTATGTTGTTGCATCAACTTCTGCAAAAATCATCTCCAATACTCGATTTTTCGGTTCATACTTCAGATTTAATCAGTTAAAGCACCTTTTTATCTTCATCTCAGCTTGATGATGCATTATAGCTTCCACATCCAAGCTTGCATCGACTCGCTGATCGCCAGCGCTACCTACGCCGGCAGGCAGTGTAGTGCAGCGCGTCCTCGACAATTGCCCCATGGACTCTCTCATCGCCTATGATGTGAGCCAACTACGATGCGTCTCTCAATAAATCTGCCAATCATTCTCTCTGACATTCATTCCGTTCATTTCGAGAGAAATGAAAAACATTTTAATCAACCTATGAACGTTGTTTTGTTTGTGCAGGTGAAGAAATACAGGCATCTGCAGTGTGTGGTCAGCTACTGCGCTACTGGCGCCGCCCCAACCCAGTTATTATCGCAGGCTTCTTCATCCCGCATTTGGCGGTCACGCAGTATTTGCACTCGGCTTCATCAGCAGAATTTATGCTTCCATTATAATAGTATAATATATTCGTTCAGCATTTATTTTCAATAAATATATACATTGGCAGTCATTGGAGACGATATATCTATCCTCTGCATATATATATTTATTCTAGACCAAGTTTTGTCCGTTTTAAAAACCATATCAGAGGCTACATTTGTTTTTAAAATTGCATTACCCATGAATTTAGACTAAATTTTTTAAAACCTTGATTCACCGGTGTAATATTATTAAGATCATTTAATTTACTAACCAAAAACAAAACAGTTGTTTAGCCACAAGGTGATTCACATTCCAAATAATATAACCTGTATAAAGAGTTGACATGACTGTGATGAAAAATGTATTAACTAATGTCGCCGGCCCTGATATACAGGTATAATAATTTATTATGTGGTAAAATATGGCTTGCGTTGGCTCGGTCTCAACGGAAAATCACAGTCTTGTTCTCCCGGCCCCATCAGAGAAGAAAAAACACGAAACGCTCCAACTGTGCAGAGGCGGTAAAAATTTGAAATCATCTAAAACGTTCGTAGGAACGTGGTGCTCCAATATGAAGGAAAGTATACAAGTATTCAGATGCATTCGATACATACATTTAATAATTGATAATCGTTCTCATCATTGAATGAATCAACAGGAGTACAGACAAATCAATAAGATTACAGATTACTAATTAAGGAAGGAATGTTTGGTATAGCTTCATTAACACCATTTTGTAATCACGGTTAAAAAAAGCAACTGATAATCAAAGTGGTATTGCACATAAACAATCGTAGCAAATGAAAATGAAAAAAAAAATCTATCAGTGAAAAACGCAGATAAAATAAAACTATCTTAACACTTGTTGCTCTTGGCTGAGCAAATCACCTCGCTTAGAATTCCGAGATCACAGCTGCAGGGCATGCTTCTTGGCACCACAAAATTAATAACTTGGAAAAAAGCTGTATCAGCATTGCGGAATAAGTTATGGTTCACCTAAGCCTATAAAAATCATTAAAATATAAACATATACATCGCATAGACAACTTAATTAATAGAATATGTTTCTGGTTAATGCATTTGAAATATTTAATATATCCGCAACAATGCGGTTATCCCTCCTTTATTGTTCATATTTAAGGGATTCTCCGCAGCACAAGACTAAAGACTTGCCCAATCTAACTGTGCAGGACAAAAAAAGAGCCAGCACATCAGTCAACGTCGGCGTCCCAAAAATGAACGAAAAAACACTAATCTAACAATAAAAAGAGCAACGTATGATTCCTGCTTCAATGTTTCAAGTACATCGTTATGCAACATGTGACTAAAAATAAAAAAAACTAACATTAGTATACATGCGTGTTTTCCATGTACTCAGCTGTGAATCTCTTCGGAGATGTGGGATCAAAACATGCTACAACATGTATCTAAGACCTTGCTTCCCAAAGCACTTTGCTGATGGTCGTACAGACAAAATCTGTTCAGATCCAAGTTTATTTTTATTATTATTTTTTTTTTTGCAACGACATGATAAACATTATAAACGACGTGATATTGTTTTGCAACAAGAACATGATAAAAGAAATTAAGACAGAGCTTCAAGTGTGAAAATGATTGGCATAAAGCTTCAGTTACTCCAGCATAGAATTTGATGAGTTTTAAAGTTCACTGTTCAACTTTTCCGTAGCATCAAGTATTGTTGTTATAATTTTATCAGATGCTTTTTGACTAAACATTTTTATTTTTGCAGATGCTTCTTTTATATAGACGGTTCTGTGATTAAAATGAAATAATTTGTTATTCGTCACGGCTGGGGTTGGGAGCAACTTGTGGTGTCAGGATCAAGTCTACTCGCACTTGTCCTTGACGGTTAGCATGATGAGGTTGGTCTGGTGGATGAGACACGCCGCACTCAGGAACACAGCTTCTGCTCTGTAACATAATATATCAAAATACCAAGTGCACGGGGAATCTATTTGCATTTAGAATTCAACTATAGCGAAGTTACTAAAATATTCGTTCATAGCAGGCGAAAGCTTTGATAGTAGCGAGTTGACTCAAAACAACCCCTTGTGGCATCATCAATCTCGCAGTTCAGGTAGACATCAAGTATTGCAGGCAAGGACGGATTAGTCTTCGTGGTTTGAACAGTAAATTGTATGCAGAATTTAAAGACACAAATAAACTTGAAAACAAAACCAAAACCATTAATGTAATATAAAGTTCGTTATGGCTGGCAAATATTGCTGCTTCATAATTTACTAATTTTCACCAGATTGTACAATGTTTATCAACTAAAAATCAGCGCAATGGTAATGAAGGCCAATGCACATACAAATATTATAAAAGGATAGCAATATATGAAACCAATCGGAACATTAATTACATCGATAGCTACTGATATTATCTAGACGAAGATAATATCAAAGCTGGAGGCAACTCACTGTCCTTCCTTGAAGTATTCCTTGAGTGTGTTGCTGAAGCGTTTGCTATGCTTAACAAAGTCTCTCTTCCTCTGCTCGAGCGCTTGCTTGCCCTGAGGTCCTGGTATGAACTCGGCTACGCTCGACACCGCGTCCAGCAGCTTCTTGATGCCGCTCGCAATCTCCCTGCAAAAATTGCGTGTTCAATCAGAAAAATTTCAGTTTAAGATATTAGGTAGTGTCTCAACATTCCTGAAATTTAATGTTTGAAGCAACCGTGCTGCTTTATTGTATTTAACAACATGTGGCGCCATCTCACGCTTCGTGAATCAGGTTATGTTAGTTCTCTCAACATAGATACGCAAAGATCGGCATGTACAGAGCAACATATGACAAGCAAATGATAGCAATTTATCCCTGCACGGAATAGCTCTAGCCAAATTCAAGGAAGACTGAAAACGGAAAATAAAGTGAAAACAATAAGGCTAAAAGCATTCAACTCTCACACGCCATTCAGTGTTCCTTTTTTATAAATATAAACGCCTTTTATAAATGGCGTTAGACAACATTTCTTATTGCCAACTATTTTTCCCCAACATGGTTTCCAGTTAACATTTTTAAGGCGTGAATATGGTGACATTATTAGGTAGAATTACATTAGCACGTTCTAGATTTTATCAGACAGTAATGTTATTACAAAACCTTTCCTTTCATTCTCATTGATTTTTCTTTACTTCGCTACAGTAGACATAACACTTGTGATTTGGGGTTTTTAAAAGTAGCCACAGAGGCTGTGATTTGTAGCTAAAAAAGCACTAGCACTGCAGGCTGAGCAGAAGCTGGCAAAAATTGAGTTTTGATGATCAACATTACGCACAAAAGGCAACTTTTTAATTAAAATAATTTTTTCAATTAAATAATTTTAGCTTTCTGGGAAATGTGAGGAATATTTTTTTCATGATATCACAATGATTTATGCATGATAGATGAACTTGGAACCCTTCATGCCACCCAATACCAGCCAAAAATTAATGTCAGTGATATTCTAATTTGGCAAGATTAATTACTCTTTCGGCCAATTTATTCTACAGTCCCTTTTTAGCGCATTTTCTCATTTCTGGAAAAAAATGCACTATTGTGCTCGCCATGTCCGTCTGTCTGTCTGTCCGTCCGTCTGTCCGTGACCTCAGTTTTCATCGACGAGAAAATGTGCTCTCTGTCACTCACTGCAGTGAATACTGAGTTATAGGTATATATTTTTAAAAAGAGCTAACTACGTAATCTGCAGTATGATTTGCAAAATATGGGCTTAGGCATTCTAAACAGAAAATTTATCATGTATTACTTCAAATGTTGCTGCATCTGTCAAATTTTCGAATTAACAAATTTAAAATGTTTGAAATTATAGCCTTCAAAATTTATTTCTCTATGAGAAGTCTACGTCTCAAAGTAATCTCAAGTACTATTTATTGATAATACAAAATTCTGTGAGTCATCAAGGCAATTATTAAATAACAAAATTTTGTGCACTTCATTCACTAAAATAATCATATACTTGATTGTCTCGAGGAAAGTTTTTCTGTCTGTAATTTCATCAGGTATTCTTGCCAGTATTCTCTTCAGACTGGCACTCTTCTTGTTGAGCTCCTGGAAGCGTTCCTCGGTTCTGGTGATGCGGTATTCACCTGCAACATGAAAAGCATTTAAAGTCGTTCCAAGTTAAAAATAGCTGCAAAAACAACCACTGTCTATAGTAAATGAATAATGATATCTAAAGAACAACAAATGAACTGATCATAACATAACAATCAAAGTAATTCAGGTTTCTAGGCATGCTTCATTCTTTAAATTACCTTACAGTCAAAAGAGTACCTATACAAGTATATTGCCGAGTTAAACCTAGAAGAAACTTGGAGAAACAGTTCAAACTCTACCTGGGGCTGAATAATTTTATTAAATTTGTATTGAATTTTTGATTCCAAAGCCACATGACTGATTTCAACATAGACTGATTTTTGACAGAAAAATCAAATCTATGGGTTTGAAATGGAGCAACAGGACTAAAAAAAATATTGAATACCATACGTACTGAAATTTTTAAAAGCATATAGTCAGATGGGGTAAGACAGGACCAAAATCACTAACAAGCCTGTAGCATCTATAGGTACCATGAATAACTAAAAAACCCTAAACCTATCACAAGGTGTAGTTATGCAATGGGCTTCTAAGCTACAACTCGGACATTTTGCATCTAACATAGTTTTCTGTACAGATTAAATAAAATACTTAAAAAAAAAACTTTTTAAAAAACCACGTTTTTCTTGTGGACTAAAAAGTAGAAAATAAATTATGGTTCGCCCCAAAAAAACGTGTGTCGGGCAGATTTATGATTAAAGCGAAAAGCACACAACACTTAAATTTTGGAAATTTGATGGTGAACGTACAGCCCGACCCACGTTTTTTTGGGGCAAGCCATAGCAAAAGATAAAAATTTTGACCAAAATACTCCATGTACTACACAATTATATATTCATTTAAAAACTATTTTTCATAAACTGTAGGGTAATAGAGGACCATTTGTGGGGTAAGACAGGACCATTTGTGTGGTAAAACAGAAACATTTAGTGGTCCCGTCTTACCCCATGTCCGGTCCTTTTTTACACCATTTTAGAATACATGTCAGGCAGTGATGGTAGCAGGTAAGAATGCCTAGTATGTCTAAATAGTTGCCTATTACTTGAGGTTACCTGCCTACATCCACAAACCTGGCCAAAAAATTTTTTGTCCTTAGACAGAGCTTATTTCCCAAACAGGGTTAACTATTTTCTGACCCTTCTTTACATAGGTTTTCTTTAAAAATTAGCCAGAAATTCATTATTTGCAGAAGAGGGTTGAAACAAACACTGAAATGACAGACAATGATTGTTCTAACATATTCTTCTGTCAAATTGAATTCAGTGCAATTAGAATGCATGCCATGGGCTGGTCCTTTCTTACCCCATTTGACTATACTACTAGTTAAATGCAGAAAGAAGGCTGCAAAACATTTAGTGTAAACTGTAAAGAAGTGATTCTAGGTACTGCATCGATGGAATTTAATGTTTGGATAGTGAATGCTCGCACAAAAGTGTGGATGACAGAAACTCACTATCCTCAGTTGGAGTGACATTGGCCTGGAATCTGAGGACGGCAGCATAGAGAGCAGCATTCTGTGGAGGCAGACCAGCCCTGGCAGCCAACTGATGTATAAGTTGATACATCAAGCCAGGGTTATTGCTTTCTGCTCTACTCAACACAGCCCGCAGACTCTGTCCAGCTGACCCATGGTCACGTTCAACCTGCAGTTAAATAAAAACTCATATAGGTATATGTGATTAAACTGTAACATGACAGCTTGACAGGTGATAGATTACTATGACAATCACTTGCACCTAATCCTTCATGGATGATTGCAGGTTAGGTTAGTCCATCTGCTTGAAGCCCAGTATCATAAATATAGAAGAGCTTTATGAGCATGTCAGCAGAAAAATACATCCATTCTGCATATCAGCACACATAACTTGAATAATCAACCTTTCTATTTCTCATAGCTCATTCATAATTATATGAACATACATATACAATACCAATACATGTATAATATCATTAAAGCATAATACATAGATATTAAACACATTCAAATGTTAGAGTACAAAAAGCTGTACCAAAATATCTAAAGATTGTAAACTAGGCAATGTTCATCATTAACACTGAAGTAGGAGAAATAAAAAGTGAACAACTTATAATACAGACCTTGGAAAGCACTGACTTCACAATAACAGGAAACACCAGGGATGCCACAGGTGAGTTGATGGCAGCTGTCTCCCCCATCCTCATATCTTAAACAAGTCAGCCCAACACAGAAATGCAATACTCTAAATCTAATCAAATTAGGCCACTCTGAAAGTTTGGTAAAAAAATAAATGTTTATTTCAATGAATTTTGTGGTATTTAATATTAATATTCATCAAAGATGTTCTACAGACATGAAATTTTGAACAGTACGTAGCAGAGTAAGGAATTTATATATACAACTGCAACAACAATCAAATGCCTTCACAGGTAAGAAAGAAAGTCCACCAAAAATAAGAGCAGGTAAACTAAAGCTTAATTGGAAACACTTTTCACATTCTGGCACTAAATTTGTAAACCAGAAACTGAAGAGAAGAATAGTAAGGGATGTTGGCTTATTGGCTTAACATAGAATTTATGACATTATCCACAAGAGATAAAACAAAGCTTATGAGATGCCAAAAGATGGATTGAAACAAACACAAAGGCAAATATTATCTTGATAATCACATCTAAAACATATTTGTCAAAGTTAGTGAGTTTGTGTGTTTAAGGCCTGGCACTGCAAATATATATACTATATATAAAGGATCTGTTTTGGTGCATATAAATAATACTTGTTGTGTCACAACATCACCTGGATAGGCTGGATGCTGGATCTCAAATTTCATTCTAAGTAGATTAATAAGAAAGTATTGGAAGAAAATAAGAGAAGGATTTGATAAGAAATTGACATTCTATATTGCAATTGCTAAGTATAAATTTAATTTAAAAGGTACAAAATAGTTTTTTTCCATTTCTTGCAGTAAGATAAAAGAGAGTCCTAACTATATAGATGAAAAAAAAAAGGTTTTGAAGCAATTTTAATATATATAATTAGAATAAATAACTTCTAATATTAAGAATTGGATTAGGAATTATAGGAATGATTAGTAGATTTGTAATGATTGGGTTACAAAATTAAAGGAATTATCCAGCCCAGGCAAGGCCTTTCTAACCTGTCAGTTCCACATATAAAGCCTGATAGAGATGAATAAATATGGTTAGGAAATATACATGTACATATTTACATATACCTATCCAACTTACAAGGATTGAGGAAAATATGATAGAGGGGAGTCAGAGAACAACAAGTGCATTTAGAAATTTTAGAAGTTAATTCAGGATTGAAGTTCATTGAAGAATTCAGACTAAAAAATGATTGATACGAGCAATTCCAAAGCTACACATATTTGTTATAGTTGAACCTGATACCCGACAATAATATTTTTGTCAATAAAGTTTGTTAGAAACCTGTCAATGGCAGGAGATAGACAAGTCACCACTAAGCAGAATGAGCAGAGACTGAGTACCTAACTGAGATACATCACTTGACACTAACCTTGTCACTGGCCCACATGCCACTCATCAGTCTCAGTCAATGTCTCATTACTAGTGAAAGTGAGTAAGCAATATAATAAGTACTTGTCTTGTCAGAACTACAATTTGCAGGCGTAGGGTTTGATAACCACAAGATGACTACAAGCAGTTTTGATCATGCTTCAAAGATATGGTTCAGTTCCGTTAATAGTTAATACTTAAAAACTATAAACTATGCATTTAAAAATCACTTTATATTAAAAAAAATTGATTTTTAAATTTTTTTGATATTAATATATGAAACAATATATACAGTGGGGGGAAATAAATATTTGTACACTTGAAAAATCGTATTTTAATGTATGTAAGTACACAAACTTAACAGGAAAAGTGATTTAAATTTTTTTTGTTGCATTGAGATTTAATTTCTTTTGATAGTATTTTTGAATACTATGCGTCTCTATTCATAATTTAAATCACTTTTCCTGTTAAGTTTGTGTACTTACATACATTAAAATACGATTTTTCAAGTGTACGAATATTTACTTCCCCACACTGTATATTCTCAAAATTTTTAAATGTGTCAATTGATTCATGCATTATCTCCAACTTAGCGCATGTGTAAAATTTCAGATCAATTGTGAATTGGACATGGACAGGTAAAAGTGTGTTGAATATTGATTATAAGATTTGTAGAAGATAAAATTGTTTTTTCATATTTTTTAAATTAAAATTTTTTTCAAATTTTTGAAATTATATATTCTGTCAACTTATTCATTAATTGTCTCCATCCATTTAGGCCATTAAGACTTAATGGCCTAAGACATGTATAGGCTGGTGGAATTCTAAAATTAGTGGTTCACTTAAAAAAAAGCATTCTGCCTTAAAAAAACATTCCAGGCAACTAGAAACAGGTTTGTAGGCTGTCAGAAATCAGCTTTGGAAATCGGCATGAACATTACACCAGGCAACACAGTGAAGGTCCCAACTCCCAAGATTGTTAAATGTTAATTGTGCACGTCACTCATGGATAAGCATGAGGGTCCTGAAGGATCAACAGACGGAAATACTTTTAACACTTGCCGTTCAAAGTACATCCAATTTTAACGTACTTTTGCTGTATTGCCTAACAGCCAGTACGTCCAATTTTACTGTACTTTTGCTAGATTGCACACTTGCATAAAGTCGGAGTCTACAAACAATACTAACAAAGCAGACTTATGGCTATTGGCTCCTAGGTACAATCATTCACAATCTACTGTTCAGGTGTTCATAATAACCTTGAGGCTTTGAGCCATAACAAATAACTGATATCAACTAGTAACTAGCTAAAACTTTCAAAATTCAACGTACTGTTACGGTGTTACGTACAGAATACAGATTCAAACAGAATAACAGATTAATACCGTAACCTCAGCCTCTCTGGCACTGGCAGCAAGATAAAGATGTTTTCACTTCAGTACTTCTGTCTAATCAGTCTAATCAGAATCATTAGGTGTAGGTCTGAAAATTATACACAAGTTTCTTCATTTATAAATTAGGGAACAAAGGAACAAAAGGTAGGTAGGCTACCTACTCAAACTTCAAACATACCCTATTTTATAGTTATGTTTATTATTGTTTAATATATTGAGAGATGACGCCTTTCAATTTGGTTCAAACCCAACTTGCAATTAAACTCATTTTAATAATTAGGCCATGAGCCTCACTGCCCCAGCGGCCCAGCCTATGACGAGTTTGCCAGTTGCCACTAGCGCACCACCTGAGCTATACACTGCTATAGCGATAATAGCATACTAGGCACTAGGTAGCTAGTAAAAGGCGAGGCGTAATAAGCTATCCTATTATTGCAGATCGTATTTCTACAATCTACATTGACGATAAGAGGCCTAGGTTAGGCTGTCGTGAACAAAGCCAAACAGAGAGTTTATAGACAGTGTACTCCGAGAGTATCCTTAATTCCCAAACTGACATCTTCATAAACTGTAATGTCCCACACACCAAAGTAAAGGACGCGTCGAATCTTGGTATTTGGTAATGATGCAGAGCAGGGTCTACCGAATTTCCGTACGCAATCCCAGCAGGCACGCAAATATAATTTCTTGCTTGATCTGACTCCAAAAGACATCGATGAGCTAATTACTAAATAGTAAAGGCTACAAAATAGATTTACACTATACTTGACTTGACTTGACAAGTTAGACGCTTGAGGCCTTTCTCAGAGACCTGTTCGTTTCTCCGAGACTATACTAACTTTGTAATATTAGCAAAATTCGGGGGCGGCTGGGTTGCAAAAAAAAAGTTAGTGTCTAATTCTGGCATGATGGAGCATAGAGAGTAGGCAGATGAAGCCAATGTTTATCGAGGCGACTCTTGAAAGTATCCACAGATGGTGCTTTGACGACATTCTCTGGCAAGCTGTTCCAGCTTGTGACAATGCGCTGAGAGAAAAAGTTACCTCTAATGTTCAGTCTGAAGTGGCTCTTTTGGATTTTTAGAGAATTTTCGCGGAGGTCTCTCGCTGTAGCCATCGCAAAACTTGGGCGTGAGACATCATAGTAGCCATGTAGGTATTTATAAACCTCAATCATATCGCCCCTCAGCCTGCGGTGTTCCAAGCATGGTAACTTCAACGTCTTGAGCCTATCTGAGTAGGGCTTGTCTTTTAGTGATGCCAAGAGTTTTGTTGCTCGCCTCTGGACGTCTTCTATATCACTACATAGAGTCTTGTGTGCTGGTTGCCACACGCAGTGCCCGTACTCAAGAAGTGGGCGTACCAAGCTCTTAAACTTGATGCTGAATGTTTTATCGTCAATGTTCTCACATTCACAGTGGTACCACACGAAGCATATCTCGCATTGCAGCGCCCTTTCCTTGCTTGTCACCTTCTTCATACATATACCGCACTTGTCTGAACCAAAAGGGGGAAAGTCGCTGTTGTTTGCTTTTCCATGCTTGGATATGGCGCTGCCTGAAGTTTTGTTATTGCTACTGGCTGCAGAAGATGCCGTGCCAACTCCCGCCATTTTGCTCTGCCTCATTTTTAGATTTAGAGAACGGACAATCTTCTCAGCGGTGAAGAGAGATCAGTCGCCCACAACCTCACTCTGCCAATCTGCCTTATTATTCTGCGCACTTGAAATACTTGTTAAAAAACGTTTATTTCCTGTACAAACACAGATAAAAACTTGATCGCCCTAGATTGGCACGCAGTGACGCACACGTGACGTAGACGCCACGCAGTGAAACGATTCCAGTCAGTAAAAAGTGGCAAAGGAGATCAACAATAGGAGAACAGTGAAAATTCACAGATCACTATTCACAGATCACTAATCACAGTCTATTTTAACCAGTAAATTTTAAACTGAATTTTTTATGAATTTACAATGAATAAATACTTGTCACATATCTTAGGGCCGTAGCCCACTTCAGTAAAACGTGGTAAAGGGAACAGTGAAAATTCCCTTCGCTATATATTCGCTTTATTTCACTCAAATTTTAACGAGCCCTGAAAGTTGACATTTTTTAACATCTCGCGATCTATTGTGAATCTCAAGATTTGTGATAATAGGGTTGGCATGACATCTGAAGATCTTTTACAGTGTCACCACGCCCCAAATCCAAATCCAGAAGAAATGATATACTAAGAAATTATGTCCTCCGCTGGGGAGCGCAGCCGTGGGTAACGAAATTGACTCGTAAACAGGCCCTGGGCCCAACGCCAACCATCAGCATGCAATATCTACACATAGCCTCAGATCAATGAGCTGTGTGTAAGTGACTCATATCACCACACCAACTTTAAAAAACACAGCCACTGCTTCACAGCGCAGGAGCACAACTGGCCGGAGCGCAACAGGCCCTACATACAACGCCTTACGTTAGGTTAGGTCAGGAGTAGGGCCGGGGTAAGGCGTTGTAGGTAGGGCTTGCTGCGCTCCGGCCAGTTGTGCTCCGGCGCTGTGAAATAGTGCCTGTGACTGAACGGCGCTGTTGTGGTGGGCGCTTTGTGTCGAAAGCCGTGAAGATGCCCGGCTGCGTTACGCTCGGAAAGGTATATGAATCGCACTGTGGACTTGGGCTATGCTGACCTCTAGCTATCCACCCCTCCGCTGTCTTCTCTGTCGTCGTATTCCGTCACTGCAGAGTGGCCCAGTAGTTACAGTTTAGCTGCTTTAGCAGATACAGAGACTTGCATGACAAATGTCCAAAACTACCGTGCAATAAATGGGACCTAGCAATAACCAACAAAACAACATACTTAAATTGAAAGTATTCTCCCTCCCCTTTACCATCCAGTTTCTTTTATGTCATCATTCTTTTTTACTTACACAAACCATCTCTGCACTCTAACTCTTGTCCCAATATCTTGAATCCTGTACATGATGTGTCTGTCTACTTTTTTCCCCTTTCCTTATGCCAAAAATTAATCTTAAAATGAATGTGTGACACGTGGCAGCTAGCCGATACAAAGGCCTGACGTCTGAAGATTTTTTTAGTGTCACCACGCTCCAATCCAAAACATTCACAGTTTGTTGCGGTCTCGAACTCGCAACTCGCGGCTCCAATTATTCTGCTTTGCTTTAACCGCCCGGCCTTCTCACCGGTTCTGACCTAAATAGGCGCATAGAGCTGGGATCGAACTCGCACCTCTCTGCTCCAATCCCGGTACTCTGAACTGTAACTACTGGGCCACCAAAATGAAAACTCGTATAATCTCGCACGACGTAAGCTTCCTCATATAAACACGGCTAAACCTCATACCTAACCTGATATCTCCAGGACAATTAGGTCCATTATTTATTTAAGAGGCAGGTGGCGTTGAGAGGGCAAGTTCAGAGCGGAATTAATGCCGACGAATGTGTAGAAAAATGCGAAATAGAGGCCTTAGAATTAGGTACGTGAGCAGGATAGTCAGGTAGCTTGTATGTTATATATAGAGCCAAAGAGGAGAATAAAATCTGAAATCAAAATTCAAATTCAGTATGAGCGAAGCAAAATGAACGAACTTATAGTGAGTGGACTAAAGGAGGACGCGATGGTCATGCCTTCTCTAGATATAAGAATTCGATAATATGACTTCTGTGACGCAGCTCTTGAATGTCTGCAAAGCCTCAGGTAAGCCATTAGAAGGCCTACGCATGGTGAAACTATCACTACTCTCGTAGGCCTTGGCGTTCGTTGCCTCGAACAGCTTAGACAAGCTGGCTGTAACCGAAACCTGACGCGCGACACGTGTGAGAACTCTCTTACGTATGTACAACAAATCAGCCTTATTTACACAAACGTTAAATTTAGTATTGCTTTCACAGAAAATACGAAAATACTGTCAACATGTACCCCAAAAATTGTGACTCAAATTGTCCCACGCAGCGCCAGCGAAACCTGTTTAGTTGACATAAGCAACAAGCCATCGCGTTCTTCCGAAATCCTGCAGGCTTCGCCATTGACGAGCTCTGATGAACTAAACTCTACATCTTTTACCGGCCCTAGAGTTGCACAATTCTTCGAAATCGACGAACTTTGGGAGAATGCAATATGAAAATGAACTCCTAATCTTCAAGACTACAGCAGACAGGAATCGAAGTAAGTGGCATTAAAATGAAGGAGCAGCCGGGAAGCGAAATTTCTAATTGCCGTCATTCCTAACGAAGTGTTCTTTTCCCTCTCTTAAATTAATAATTTCCAAACCCTACGTCGTAGAAACGACAACTAAAAAGCTCACGATTTTTGCCATTTTGAAACAAATGAAAAAAAGTCGAACGAAACAACGTTTTTGTTGCGTTTTGTATGCGCAAACAAGAACGTCGATGCACTCCTGCCGATCGCTAGAAGCAGAGAAGATGCTTGGCACATTAGATGCTATCTATGGTCGCAGCCTCCCTATGTTCATCACACATCCTAGGAACGTGTTTTAGTGTACATGTACTGCTTATAGTATCGCTGAAAGTGCAGCTTAATTGCGGGACGTTCTATGCCTTGAGCCAGATTGTCTCGTAAATTTTAGGCTTTATTTCCACCATCCCAAGGTCAGGTGCATTTGAATCTAAGTCAGGAACAGTTGTGTTTGAAGGTGGTGACAATATTTCTTTTTCCAGTATCAGTGGTTGTGAGTAAACCAAATGGTAACCCAAACTCCGAAGTCCTTTGAGCAGTAGGTATTTGTAAGAGAAGTCTTCAAAAGTGCTGGATTTTGGATCGGGCACGTGGACCACCATCCGGAGCTGAGCGCGAGAAAAGGAGAAGAAAATTGTCAAGATCTCGTCACATTAATAGAAAACCCGTTGAATATTTTTTTGCCATGCAAAGGCTCTCGATAAATATACCTGAAAATTCAAATTGTGTTTTCTATAGTCAACTATGCTCTCAAATTCTCAATACGACGAACAAAAACTCCAAACTCAGATCTAATAACAGTTAGGCCCTCTGATCCGAACACTATCCTATCCTATAGCGAACAGCTTTAAGATCGAACAGAAACACAAGTGGCGACACTATTTTCTTTCAGAGTGTAAAAAACATAATCCGGCCAGTCTTCTCGCTACCGCATCTCTGCCTTTATCACTTCTTTCTCTTGTGCGGGTTATATCGGAATTTTCTTGTGAAATTAGTCTCTAATTTGCCCTCATTAATAATAGCATCCTGATCAGAATTCTCTCAATTGGAACAGTCAAAATATAATTAAATTTGAAGATATTCCTTTATTATTCTAAGAAACAATTCACTGCGTATTGAATTCATTTTATTTTGCTGGGATTATTGAAAAATTATCACTTCGTTATCCTATTCTAACATCCTTCATTCTTTACGGATATTTGTCCCAGTATTCCTGCACTAATACTGGAATCTGTTTGCAGAACATGTTAGCAATACATGAAAACCTTGTTTATGTGTTATTCTATTGATTTTGCTACTTTATATTAAAACATACGTTTCTCTTCGTAATGAGACATTCGACAAATAACAATTTTAAAGAAGGATATTTAATTGTCAAAACACAATTTCCTAACTGGCCTAGATGCTGATCAACGAAAAATATAATTTTCATATATTCTGTTTAGTGATGATGACTTTGTAAAAGTTTCAGCGTGCATACAGCAGTGACTATAGAAGACGAGCTCGAAGGTAACTTACTTGTTGGATGAATTTCCACGCCTGTATTCTCGATGAGTACAACGTGTTGAGCAGGCGCCACTCGGAGGCGTTCACTCCGGTCTTCACGATGTGAATGTTCTTCAACTGAAAGCAAATAATCGAAAAGCACTCGTCAACCAGACGAAGAACATTGCGAGTAAATTATCAGATGATTTAATCAAAGATGCCATTCAATTGTTAAAATTAATAGTCAATGCCAGCTTAATACTAATGGTTCAGTTGGAAAATGCAAGAAAAATTAATCGAAATAAGGTCCTAGGTCAAGTGCGTCCTGATCACGTGAGTTAAAACCAAATGGTTCAAGTTCATGTGGCGTAAAGGCAAAGCCAAACGAAGCTGGTCACGGAAGAATGGGCTTAGTTTGACAATGTTTTGAGTCTTGTGGGTAAAGGCAAAAACGGGAGCCGTAAACACTGACAGTCATTAGTGCTGAGATTAAGTAGGTACAGGATCACCTCATGAGACATGAGGTTGATGAAGTTGTCGAGGGTGTAATGGGCGTTGCCAGGCTGGGGTGACAGATGCAGTGGGTAGAGGAAGCTGTTGTTTCTGATGCGTCCGTAGTTCATGTCAGTGATATTTGTGATCAGGTGCACCCGGCAGCCTCGCCGACCCATCTTTAAGGATGTGTTAGTGCTTATTAGTTACTTATTAATGGATGAAAGATGTTTGGCTATAGTTTACATCGGTAAATTAAGATGTAATCCGCATTGAAAACTTAATGACAATCATCTCTTAAAGTGGTAGTGAACTTTCGACCTTATAGGCATAACAACAGGTAAGTTTACAAGGCATCGAGCGAGAGGTTAGTGAGAAGTAGCAGTCTAGCATACGAGGCACTATAGGCCGAGGCTTACACGAGGATTAGTTTTAGGTTTATTCTCTTCATATTCTCAGATCGATAGATTGCAAATTGAATGCAGACTAATATTTATGCCGTATGTTATATAGTAATTTCGTGTCCACCAAGTTCTTTACGTTCAAATCATGTTCGTGTCTTGACTCATCATGCAATGAGACCGAGATATTTTAGTTGACAATTTCTTGTGTAAATTCCGAATTGAGAAAAACTGAGATAGATTTTATTTAATGTGACAAAGACCAACTTATCTTTCCTAGCTTTCATACTATTAGTAGCACAAGTCAGACCACGGCGTTGCCCCTGGGCTCCATGATACCTGAAATTTGATAATCCCGTCATTCTGAATCCCCCAAAATAATTAAGCTAACTTAGTTCGTTGAAGAGAGACACGTTCAGATCTTTAATCTTTAATGCAAATACATATAAAAATTTATAAACCACTACCCGCTCCATCAAGTTTTGCAATTCAATAATATTCTCTCTTCGCGATTTATATTTCAGGTCCAAGTTGATATCCCGATATGGTGAGTATAAAAAAATATAACTCAGTATTCACTGCAGTGAGTCACAGAGAGTGCATTTTCTCGTCGACGAAAACTTAAAGTCACAGACGGACAGACGGACGGACGGACAGACAGACGGACAGGCAGACGGACGGACATGACGAGTAGAATAGCGCATTTTTTCCAGAAATGTGAAAATGCGCTATAAATGATAGGGCCCAATCAGCCTCAGAATTGGCCTTTTAGCCAGGTGTTGCGTTATTGCCATTTTAACGGCGACTTTATACTCATATTGTACCGAATCCCGTTAATGAGGATACAATTATTAAGTGCTCATTAAAGGTAGACCCGTTAAAAAACACATTACAAAAAGAATTCCTATTTGACTCATGTTTAAAAATAATAAAAATCTATTCTCTATGTTAGTATGCACAAACTCAGACGAATTTGTGTAAGATTGACAGTCAAGTGTTTTACATGATACTTTTTACGCGTATGTCATGAAAATTTTTTAATCCTTTACTTAAGATCTGCCAATCCTGGCTGCTCTACTAATCTACTTGGCTTCCAAGAGAGCACGAAGACGGTATCAATGTTGCTTGACTTGAAACCCATTAAAATACTAAAGCTTCAATTGCGCAGGTTAGGCCGGCGGCTCTACCATTCGTATCATGATAATTGCCAGCTCCAGATACATTGAGAAGGTATTTATTTCACTGATGCGAATATAGAGAACGCAAGTACTGCGGTGATGTCCAATTAAATGACCAAGCTAGAATCACAGATAACAAATATAACTGACTGCACACATTCTACTATGTACTTTGTACTAGCAGCTACAAAAGGCATAGCTCGAGATTGCTCGTTCATGATCGATAGGCAAGGTGATTTTATTTAACATGCGTCATCCAATGCCTAGCTCATGAATTCAATGATAGCAATAGAGATCCAAATAATATCCCAATACGACTGATAAGGCGAATTCACGATCCTATATATTATCAGGTCCAGGCTTCAGCATACCGTTCTCAAACAAACACTCTAGAATAAAGACTGAGACACAATAGAAGGCGATCTCGGCGACGTTTATGATGAAATATTTTTCGATATTTGAGAATAATCAAACTGTCTTTCCAAATATCATAATAATTCTTCAATTAAAAAATCGTTAATTTCAGAATGACAAGTTAATTCAATGTCTCATTCAACAGAATAAAAACTATGTAACCAAAGAATTGCTATTCAAATGATGACCTTTTAATTATCAGTACATGAGCTTTTTTTCTTCAGCCCCAGCAAAGGTTCTTAGTAACACCGAGATCATCAAGACTCGTGCTATTTCTCAACTATTGGTGCTGATGCTTTGGTAGTTTAAAATAGTCTAATGGTAATATTAAATAGTCATAATGGTATAGTGGTATTTTAAATCGCCATTGTACTTGAATGGCTGGCCTACGTTAGATGACGTGGGAGAACCTTTAGCTCAAAAAAGATGTTGTCGGGGCTCGGGTCGATGGAGTAAATCCTGCAGGTGCGGGGCGACATGTCCTGGGGCAAGGAGTCGCTGCATATCCTTGGTCCTTCCAAGCCCACTTTCTGAAGCATGAACGAGAACGGGTTGATTGAGAAGTTTTGAGGATCGGGCTAGCCTCACGACATGAAAAAAACCGTTTCGTGCTATGATTTTAGCTCATACTATGCTGGATTTTTGACTAGAGAAGGAGTTAAAGTTAAACCAAATATTACCCAAACATTTGGTTTACCTTTAACTCCTTCTCTGGTCAAAAATCCAACAAAGTATAAGCCAAAATCTGAACACGAAACGGTTATTTCATGTCGTAAGGCTAGCCCTATCCTCAAACCTTCTTAATTATATTGTAGATTATTATTTGTTCATTCTACTAACCTGATCTTTTACGTAAGAACAGAAATGATCATTGACTGCAGGATTTGCGTTCTCGTGTTTATTTCCAAGATTTTAATTAAATCATAGAATGAAAATTTCATCGACTCAGCGTCAACATTTCTAGTCCCGTCAATCGTAGACGTCAAAATAAAATTTAAGATTATTAGATAAGCTATCGAGTCAATGAATTTAAATAAAACTATTCTCACAGTAAAACGACGATCGTTCAGCGTCTTCGTAGAGACGTGTTGGATTTCTCGGCACTGGACGCCATCTTTGGCCACGGTGAGTAGCCTAACGAAATCGTCTTCAACCAAAGGAGCATAAGGCAGGGATCGGTCATCATCGGGTGGCGCTGGCCCTGCGAACGCCACGCGCTCACTTGTGAAGCTCTTGTACATATTTCTGAAACCAAGAATATTATTTGAGAACGTATCGTGATTTTATGGAAAACCCTTGACACTCAATAGATCCTTATCCATGTGGCATCTCTGTATATATAATATTAAAAAATCGAATTTATAAAAATAATTATTATTTATACAATATCAAAGTGCATAACCATGATATTTCAATTCAGTATTTTTGATAAAATTATATGCAATAAATTAATAATAGACAAACCCAGCGTTCCTCTGGATCAATAATCCCTCCAATGTTGGAATCATTTTATAAGGAAAATATTTAAAAGGATAAAGTTTATATAGGCCAAATAGCGGAAGAAGCCGTTCAAACCCACACTATACATTGGACCAATTTGTCACTCCCTTAAAAAATACTTCTTTTGTCGCTTGTTCTTGAAAAAAAATAACATTTTGAGTCTTATACTAAAAAAATTATCTTTCACTAAAAACCATATCTACCAATTAAACAAAAAATTGCTATTTTGATCCATTCCTTTCTTGCCAGTTTGTAGTGCTTTACTATTCCACCACAATTTTCAGGTCCAGCAAATATCACAATACGATCAGTATTGTCGACCAGTACGCGCCCGAACAGTTCCTGTTAATTTGCAGTGCTAGGTTACAAACGCAGCACACAAAACACAAACTGACGTTCGAAAAAATATGTATACGGTTTCATGGATTATAAACTGAAAATTTATTAGCACAGAATTAGCTAGTAGACTTTTGACACCTGAAAAGAAGCAGCGTGACGATGAATGCGTAGATGAGGAGACCATCCCGTGGAACTGAGGTGGTGAATTGCCTTGCTTTAAAAGTCGTCTGTTTCTTCGTGGTCATCGCAGGTTGTATGTCACGTCACATAGCAAGATTGCAATGAAAGTTTAACAAGACACCAACATGTGACCACAACTGAAACATGAACAGAATTGTTTCGAAAAAAGATGGCCCAATGCAGAGAAGTTTACGTCAACAATCTCAACATCTACAACCTTCGTTGAATCAGCAGGGCTTTCATTCAAAAGTATAAGAATAGTCATGAGTTATACCGCGAAAACAGATGAGATTGGCTGTAGTAATTTATAAAATGATGTTGTATTGGCAATCATCAAAATAATTGCCCATGTGCCTTAGTTGTAGTTGCCTTATCACCGGGGAACACAAAAATCAAAACCACAATCGAAAAACAAGTTTTACGCTCAGTTACAATCTCCACGTTACAAATTCTAACGAAATTTGATGCACGATTAGAGAAATTTTAATCGTTCAAGACGATTCAATAGATTCAATGTTAGACGAAATTCTAACAAATTTTGATTCAAAATCAGGAGCCAGAGCTACTGAGGAACTGAGATGGTTCACACAACAGTGCAATGCTTTTTTATAAACTGATTATTGGCTTTCAACAAAGCCTGTAATAGTGCATTTTACTTTTCACAAAACTTTCAAGCAAAATACCAGCTTTTAACTGAACATTAGAGGAAATGGGGGGTGCAAAAATCTTGGAAATTTCAGTTTGGTAATACCTAACATTCTGGATGGTCAATAATACAAACATGATAGACAGAACACTCAAGCAACTGAACAAATTCCCAATATGCTGTGAAATGTGCACAGCGCCATGGCACTAACATCGCCAGCGCAGCAGCTACACTAAAAAACTCCTATTATTTGCCAGGTTTTCCTTGTAGGAAAAAGCTTCAAAGAGCTCATGATTATCATTTTTCCCCAGCAATGATTCCTGGATCAAGCTTCCTACATCAGATAATGTTTTCTATGACTGAAGGTGAGCTTAAGAACTATAGATTATACGACGAACGAACGCCAATTTTATTACCATCTGAAAGGCAAAAGGTTATTAACCTCTTATCTGACACCTCTGTCGCCCGTCTCACACGCGAGAATTTAATTCATGTTAATAAAACCGTTAAGTGTCAGTTCAGGTGCAGATTCAGAAATTGCACGATCCAACTACACACACCACGTCAACTTGACAGTTTCCTTTCTACGAGCCCAACATTCCCGTTCAGGAAGTTCAGCGAATTTATGCTGATCTCGGTTGTTGTGTAGCAGCAAAATAGCAATGACCTCGTGACGTGGTGAGATGCCTGTCTTAGTATTAGAATTAAAGCATCGGCACCCAATCGGATTTCGTGCATAATTCACGCTGGATGCAGTGATCAGAATTAAGCCAGCGTGACTCACGGGCCCACGGCTTCCAGTTCCACGGTTCCACCCTCAGGCCTCAGCCTGACAGCCTCTAGTTCTCAGTAGTCAAACGACTGTCGTGGAGTGTGGTTATTGCATTTGTTTGTAGGCGCAGCGTTTCGTGAAACGTCATGACTTCCACTCACATTTGCTCAATATTGTAAGCCTGCTAGAATTTTTGGTGTAGAAGATTTTACATATTTGTTGCAGATTCCTGTATTTATGAAATAGTGAAAGCTTAACGTATGCAACGGTGTGATCGATGTAATTGTTTCACAAGAAAGGTTTCCCGGCAAGTTTGTATTGATGAAGGTAAGTTGCAAGTAAGATCACCAAGGCACTGCTGGATCTGAATTCTGATTGCTTGACAAATGATTTTTTTAGCGTGCAGTAGTCACCGTAGTTGAAAAGTTAGAAATTATTTGTAAACTTTATTTGGCGCTGTGATGATTCCTTGCACTCTAGGCCAAGACTGGGTCAGTATCGATGTGTTTCTGTACCCACATTTCATCTATTTAGGTGACCTTGTAAGCTTGTTTCAGTTCAATCTCAGCCAAAGTTCGTTTATGTTCAAAGTCCTGCTAATGTATTTAATTCAAGCACATGTCTATTATGGTAATATTATTCAAGATGCTTCTATTGTATACGTTCACATAAATTACTCCAAGTATTTGATCAGTCCTGAAGAATATTTCTTCTCTGAAGGTTGTTTGGTCATTTTAGCTGACCTATTAAATGCATAAAGCGCCTAACCAACACAACACCCACCCATGCATGTTCATCGCACCTTCATTAATTATGTCTACCCAACCCAATCCTTCTCTTTTCGCGGGTCGCATGCGGCATACCTACAAAATAATCTCACGAAACGGGACATAGAACTTGAAGGCAAAATGAGCATAACAAACATAACATAACATAGTGATCTCGGCGCTGAAGCGTAGGCCTGATGTGGCCTATCGTCGATTCTTTTCCCTTTCGTGCCTTGTTCATAGAAGATCTAAAATCGTGTTATTTGACCGGATCTTTTCATGACTGACGATAGTTTGAAGTAGCTGCTAGACTTCCACCGGGTTCGATAAGGAGCTAGGCATTTCAAATCTGAACATATATTTTTCCATAGCTTTATCTAGTCTGTTCTTGATAAGTTGCAGCGCAGTTTTTTTAGTTTATAGCCGTGGCCCCTGGTGTTGGTTCTTGTTTCAAATTCTAGTAATCCTACGGGGACATTGTATAAACCATGAGTATACTTGTATACTTCAATGAGGTCCCCACGCAGACGTCGATAACAGAGGCTTGGAAGCTTCATAATCTTCAATCTTTCTTCATAGGGCTTGCCCTTCAGGCCTGGAATAATCTTTGTTGCACGTCTTTGAACATTCTGTATTAAATTTCTGTCCTTTTCAAATCTCGGTGACCACACGCTTGATTGCTACTATGATTATTTCTCGGATCAGAGTGTTTCTCCATTACCAGTCGCATATGATACCTAGGTAGATTGCCTCACTTGTAGGCACCAGCTAAGTTGTGCTTGAGTAACTACTTAGGGTTGCTGGAGTAACGACCCAGGGTTGCTGGAGTAACTACTTAGGGTTGCTGGAGTAACGACCCAGGGTTGCTGGAGTAACGACCGAGGGTTGCTGGAGTAACGGCCCAGGGTTGCTGGAGTAACGGCTCAGGGCTGCTGGAGTAACAACCCAGGGTTGCTGGAGTAACAACCCAGGGTTGCTGGAGTTTTGCTGGAGTAACAACCCAGGGCTGCTGGAGTAACAACCCAGGGTTGCTGGAGTAACGACTCAGGGGCGCCGAGGTCGCGTGACCGTCCCAGCGACCTTCAATTGCTCATATTAGCGCTTTAAGAAACAAGCTCACAAGTGAACCTCTGGCGCGGCAAGTGTCTAATTAAATCAAGTCACCTACTTTCGTGGTTCCCTAATCTCGATGAACCTAGGGGTTTGTTCTCTTTAATATATTTTATACTCACTGAGTGGCTTATGGATGTAAATACAACATGTAGACTGAGAGCAACGTGAGGCTCTGGAATTAGCGATGGATATTCACAGTCGTCGTGTCAGGAACTTGTTGCTAAGCTTTTAATCGTAATTCACCTTACCAATCCTGTCATAGGAGTTAATATTCATTGCAAATCACGACGAACTTAAAAATTAAACTCTACCAAGTCCTGTTATTTTGTAGGTGATTGTGCTATTTGAGTGTGTACAAATAACCGAGGATTGGGTTGTTTCTACACATTTTACTCATACTTCAAATCAGCAGATTATGAAGCACATAAGAACTTGAAAGATAATCAGTTATCTTCTAGGTTGTTGTAGCACTGGAATATTTTGATGGCTCTGTTGCTGGCGTGCTGGTGCAGTAAGACCTTGAGATGCGCAAGCCATTGAAGTCGGGTAGCCTCCGTAGACTTAATAGCCGCGGCCGCGTTATTAGAGCTCAGCTCATGACCTCCACACATGACAACCGAGCCACTTTCTTGAATATTTTCCTGGTGATCTAAGTCCTATGTTGGTCGAATGAGATTATACGAAATGAAGTGATCTTAAATTTTATAGCGTAGTGAAATGATTGTAAATATAAAGGTGTGAGCAAATAATTAGTTGATTCTGATTAAGGTGATTGGCAGTCCTGATGATTTTAAATGCTGTATTGATTTCCGAGACGGCAGGAGCAGGTTTGAAACTGCAGTGTTAAGATTGACTTTTGTATTAACTGCAACTTAAATTTCATGCAACATTGCAATTATTGTTTTTCCTTCCGGTCTATGTAAAAACAAAACCTAAAAATTCTTTTTAAAAAAATTAGCGCAATGCTAACGAATTAGTATAAAATGTTTTCATTTGCAACATTATTCCCTAATATTCCCATGACTGTATTTTTGTAAAGTCGCCTGCTGCTATCTGTTCTCAATTAATATACCTATATTTTAAATTCGTCCATCCGAACTATCTGAAACGTTTAATAACTCTTTAAATATTAATATATATGGTGATTGAACGACGTTACCATTAGCTTTTGCTTGAACATAAACCTCATAACTTGGTACACAGTTTGTCTCTTAGCAACCGTAAGGTACGATCGTTGACGCGTGGCACGCGGGAATCTTCGACAATGAAACTGTCCTCGGCGTCACTGCATTGCTGCGTGCGTTGTACATGTGTGACGAGGAGCCATGGCATGGCCATAGTTCTGACGCTACGATATTATGCGCTGGTCTCTCTCATCTGGTGTTATGTATCCCATTGACCTCGCCTCATATATATGGAAAATTATAGGCATGTTCGGAGCAATGTCTACTGTAGGTAACATTATAGGCAAGTTCAGAGCAATATCTACTATCTGTCTCTTATACACATCTAGATGTGTATAAGAGACAGATGTGTTTCTGTACCCACATTTCATCTATTTAGGTGACCTTGTAAGCTTGTTTCAGTTCAATCTCAGCCAAAGTTCGTTTATGTTCAAAGTCCTGCTAATGTATTTAATTCAAGCACATGTCTATTATGGTAATATTATTCAAGATGCTTCTATTGTATACGTTCACATAAATTACTCCAAGTATTTGATCAGTCCTGAAGAATATTTCTTCTCTGAAGGTTGTTTGGTCATTTTAGCTGACCTATTAAATGCATAAAGCGCCTAACCAACACAACACCCACCCATGCATGTTCATCGCACCTTCATTAATTATGTCTACCCAACCCAATCCTTCTCTTTTCGCGGGTCGCATGCGGCATACCTACAAAATAATCTCACGAAACGGGACATAGAACTTGAAGGCAAAATGAGCATAACAAACATAACATAACATAGTGATCTCGGCGCTGAAGCGTAGGCCTGATGTGGCCTATCGTCGATTCTTTTCCCTTTCGTGCCTTGTTCATAGAAGATCTAAAATCGTGTTATTTGACCGGATCTTTTCATGACTGACGATAGTTTGAAGTAGCTACTCGACTTCCACCGGGTTCGATATCTGTCTCTTATACACATCTAGATGTGTATAAGAGACAGGAGCAATGTCTACTGAAGGTAACATTATAGGCAAGTTCAGAGCAATATCTACTATAGGTAAAATTATAGGCATGTTCGGAGCAATGTCTACTGTAGGTAAAATTATAGGCATGTTCGAAGCAGCATCTTCTGTAGGTAGTTCTTTGATTACATATAAGCACAGCGTTTTAACCAAAGGCCCTTGCCATGCCAGTATTTGTCTAAACGAATAATAAATCCTTAGACAAGACAACATGCAAGCTGTATACAAAGATGACGTCTTTTGTTAACCCCTTCAATGTGTTTCATGAATTCAAATGAAATTCTTAAACGAAAATTTGAAAACACGATCTTCCTGACCATATCTGAGAATATAGCTGCTGCAGGGCTTAAAATTGGTATCGTGACTCAAGTGTGTTGGAATTGAGTGTGTAATAAGCTCAAGGTCATCACTCATTACCCATTATTTCTTCACCTTATCCGCTAATGGCAGTCACAACCTTGAGTTTAGGTCATCCTCGAGTATCACAAGTGCCCTCGTGCCGAGGGTTCTCATTTCACGTCCCTCGTCATCGGGAACTGGTCATTACGATGCGGGCCTCACGTCCGTAATTTAGGGTCAAGGGCCCATAGTATATCTCGATGCAGTCATGCGACCATATTGAACCCGGGCTTTATTATTTGATTGCTACAATCACAGAATAAATTATTTTCGAGTAACTGATTTTTTCCGATGTCGTCTTTGGAAGTCCGATGAATAAAGTCCGTCTTATGGAGTCCGATGCCATGGAATCTTTGCGGTTTCCACAAAAATATTCCAAGGGCAGTAATTTACTTTATTTACTATTCCTTATAATTATATTTTCAAGCGGCACTTAGCGCGAATTCGTTTCATACTACGCAGGTCCATGTCACGCCTCGTTGCAACGGTAAGTTGTCCCTTGATTTTTATGGTCAAAGCCACAATCTTTCAACCATTTCATGGAGAATTAACTGAGAAAAGATTAATTTTTGTAGGCATAGAGGAGAACCCTGTTTCAATCTTGCACAAAAACATAGCAAACATTAAATCTATATAGACCAAGAACTTTACGTTGTGAAGTACAATTACGATACAGAACGAATTGTGGAAATTTAATTGTTGTTAAAATTGTGAATGTACCATTGACACTATTGTAAAAGCAAATTATGGCTTGCAACAACTGCAAGGTCATTGTAGCGCAACAACAATTGCTGATGGCATTGCGAAAAGTGCAGTTTCATTGTAACGCAATTACTGCATCTTAATTGTTGTGCAACAATTA